CACAGAGGAAGACATGTCAATTATGATCATAACTGAATTTTCTTGCTAATATTCTCCCTTTCCTGTCAACCTAGAGGGAGAAGGAGAAAATCTTTAATCTTTTTTTAAGTCGCTAAAGTAGTACGCAGTGACTCATTCCATAGAGATTGGAGCATGTATGTGCCGGATGTTGTCCTGGTGCTGGTGATGTACTATGAACAAAAAAGACAGAAACCCTCCCAGAGCCAATGGTGTGTGAAGTAGGTGGACAGTGAGCAAAGGTGCATGTGTGTGGCATGAGTGATGGCAGCAAACACAGAGAAGAATAGCCAAGTAAGGAGCATGTGTGTGTGTGTGTGGGGGGAATTGTTATTTTATGCAGAAATTTTTGGCAAAATGCTTTTTTATTATTAATTTGAGAGGCAGAGAAAGAGGAATCCCAACTTTTGGTTCATTTCCCAAATACCTGTTAACAGTCAGGGCTGTGCCAGGGCCTGAGCAGGGAGCTGGAAACTCAATCCAGGTGTCCCATGTGGATTGAGCCACCCAACCGCTTGAGCCTTCCTTGCTGCTTCCCAGGGTCTGCCCTGGCGGAAAGCTGGAGCTGGGGATGGAGGCACATATCAAAGCTAGGCATTTTAACTTGAGGTGTGAGTGTTCCTTTTTGGTGTTAACTGCTAGGCCAAACATCCAGTCCTAGAAGAAATACACTTAACTTTATTCAAGTGAAGATCAGTTCATGAGTCAGGCAACTTGCTGAAACAGTAGAGGTTCAGAGGTCCTCAGGGCCTCAGAGACATTACAGATAGGAACTGACATAGACCAGTGCAGAAGTAAAGGAATTGTTTGATTGAGTACAGCTAGGTTTCTGTCTTTTTTGAAGCATAGCTCAGTGGTCAGGCCCTGGATGGATGGCTGTCCATGAGTGATTGAGGCTCAGGTTTTTTTGTTTGTTGGTCAGTTACACCAGGTAGCTCCAAGTTCAGTGTGAATTAGTTTATGTGAGAGCTCTCAGCATAGAGACAACCTCGGTTTCCTGGCCTCCTTCTTATTTGCTTCAGTACCACGAAGGTCACCTCCCTGCTTGATGCTTGTGCGTTCTTCCTGGCGAAGTTCATCCCCTCCTTAAAGCTATTGATTGAAGGCAGATGGCCAATTGCTGGCTTGTCCCTTGTGAACAAGAAAGCTAATTGTTTCAAAAGATTTGGGCCCCTACCTAAATCTGAGATTATCTGCTGTGGTGCTCAGAATCCGTGAGATTCACATCACTTGTGGTGTATCTCCCTGGAAAACCATCCTCAGTTACAGCAGGGTGAGCAAGCACTGTAAAATTGCTCTTTCATCATATCTTCCCGAGGAAGATATTCACCATTTGCAAATGTTTCAGACGATCGCAAAAGTACAAAGAAGCACCACCCTTGCAGCCCATGTTCTGGCTGTGTCTTCAGGAAAGCTCAGTTGTCATGGATTTTGTCTGTGCCAGGTAACCTGGGAGGTCTTACCCTCCTTGTCATGATAGCATGCTCCTGGGAGTCAGAGATACAAAATCTCCTTTTTGTTGGTGTTAGCTATTCAAATAGCAGCATTAGACACCACCTCACAGCAGGTTCCATCTTGCTGTTTCTTCCCCTTCCTGCTCTCATGACTGCTACAATCTGCTTATGCCCTGATGCCCTGATGCTGATGTTAGCTTGTACATGCATGATTTGAAGACTTTGATCTGCCTTGTTAAGCACTGTGTCTTCATTGACTAGAATAAGGTATGGTTGTTTGCAATGTACAATAGCAAAGACATGGAAACAATCCAGATGCCCATCCAAAGAGGAATGATTAAGAAACTTTGGTACATCTACTCCATCAAGTATTACTCAGTCATTAAAAAGAATAAAATTATACCATTTGCAACTAGATGGTCCCAACTAGAGACCATTATGCTCAGTGAAATAATTCCAAAAAGGCAAGTGCTATGTGTTCTCCCTGATATAATGAAGTTATCATGCAAATTGTAAGTTCAGCAACCCTTTCCATACTTCTTTTGATCCCATGTGTTTTGGTATTTTTTATTTCATTTTCATTTCTTTCAGATTTCTTTTCTCTTGTCGAATTCATCGCTGTCTCATGGATTATACAGTGGCATCATTTTCCCCCAAGAGCCTTTTGTGTTTTCTTTCTGAGGCTTTTGTGTTTTCTTTCTCTCACCTATACATTGATTATTCAATGGCATTTTTAATTATTATTTTATTTTTATAATCTTTAAATAGATGATTAGGGCACCAAGGGTTAAGGGTTACAGGAAAGTGGGTAAGACCATTGTTTCCACATTTTTTTGAATGTGTATCTGGGATAAAGGGAGAGATAAAGGGAGAAGCTCCACCCAACCTTCCATCCCATCCCAGGGTCCCCAATGTGGGGCATACTCTGAGGGTACTGCTCAAGTGGTTTTGATAGTTCAACAGTTCTGAATTGCTGCCAAGCTCACTATTCCAAGCACAACGAACTCTTTCCAGAATCCACTGGTTGACATAGTCCACCTTAGAGTCTCTGTTTACCCAGATTTTCACTGCCAGCGCTTGGCTGGAGTAGTCCTATGCAGGTTTTGGTAGACTGCAGTGGCACACGTTTTTTCAACTCCATGGTCCTGTAATTTTTTTGTTTTAACTTCATACCTGTTGTTGACTTTGTTTCGTGGCTTCTCATCTAAGGGAATGTATAGTGATGGTGTAATAGAGACTATCATATTCAGATATGAAGATACAATGCAGTATGCATTCTGTACTTCCTAAACAAAAACGAACTCCCAATGAAACTGTTGGACATATCTAGACAATAGGATGCTGGACTGTCTGAATTGTCTGTACCACAGTTTGGGGGCATACTTAAATAAGACTGATGGGATTATGACTCCTTTTTTTTGGAAGTATGCCTCCTTATGAAGGACTATATTATTGTAAAATATGGGGAAAATCAGTTGGGGTTGCAAATTTGGGTGGAAGAATCCCAGGCCCTATGGAATTGTAACATAAAATTCATAAAATTAAAAAAATATATGTAGCTGCTTGGTGTTAATGGGTGTTTGACTCCATTTGGACTGTTGTAACAATGATGTATAGATGGGGAGCCTATAAGACGATAGACAGTTCTCCCAGTTCTGGAAGCTGGCAAAGCCAAGATCAAGGCCCCCAACATGTTTGGTATCAAGTCAGCGCTGCATTCTCATTTTCAAAGGCCGATTTATAGACAGAAAGATCTTCCATCTGCTGGTTTCCTCTCTAAATAGCCACAACAGCTGGAGCTATACCAGGAGCCTACTTCAAGTCTCCTACATGGGAACATGAGTCCAAAGACATGGCCCATCCTCTATTGTCTTCCCAGGCCATAAGCAGGGATCTGAATTAGAAACAGAGCAGCTGGGACACAAATTGGCACCCATATAGGATGTCGATGCTTGAAAGTGTAGGATTAGCCTGTTGAGCCACAGTGCCAGCCCCTACAGATGGGCAGATGGTGCCATTCTAGCTGTATGATCTTGAGGTGATACCAATGCCATTCATGAGAGCTCTACTCTTATGTCTTAACCACATCCTAAAGACCTAAAACCATCAACCTGAGGGATGGGATTTCAACATGCAGGATGACTTTTTGTTTTTAAGATTTATTTTATTATTACTTGAAAGTCAGAGAAAGAGATCTTCCATCTGCTGATTCACTCTCCAAATAGCCTCAATGACCAGAGCTGATCCCATTTGGAGCAAGGAGCCAGAAGTTTCTTCCTGATTTCCCACATGGGTGCGGGGAACCAAGGACTCTGTTGCCCTTCCAGGTCATAACCAGAGAGCTGGGTTGAAAGTGGAACAACCAGTGCATGAACCAGTGCCCATATGGGATACCAGTACCACAGTCAGAAGACTAACCTGATATGGCATGGTGCCAACTTCCAAGGATAACTTTTGGAGGCACACAAAGATTCTGACCATAGCATTAAACTTGAACTTGTAACAAACCACAAAAGGCTATAATCGCTGTTCATAATGAACAAAATGGAGAAGTCATGTTGAAGAAAAAAATATTTTGAGTTTTATTCTCCAAACAGAAGGATGAAGGAATGCAGCAAGTGTCACAGCTAAAACTTATCTAACAGCCTGTTGCTCCAAAGGAGATGGGAGTGTGAGGAGTGATTCGAACATCCCATCTTGGACCCGGTGGCACTTCCTGCTTCCCCTTTCCCACAGCTAGCTCCAGTTATCCACCAATGAAATGTAACCTCCTGGCCTCTTTCCTAAGAACCCCATCCACTGATCTCTCAGGGCCCCTTCCGCATTTCCTGCCCACTTACCAATCACCCTCAGGCAATCACCTGTGACAATCTCAGTCACCAATCCCTTGGGGCCCACCTGCAGCCCTTCCCAATTCCATCCAACACCTTGCAGGCCCACCTGGTTGTATAAATGAGCCTCCACGTGTGCCCCCTCTCTCTTCCCTTCCTCCTTCTCTTTCCCTTTCCCTTCCCTTTTTACCTGGCTTTCCCCCATCTTCCATCTTGCCCGCTTCCCCTGCCCTGGCAGTCCCCCAGCCTGCCATGGCAGGACATGTGTCCCTTCTAGTTTTCTCCCCCTAGACTCCTGCTCCGGTTTCTACTATATTGGAATAAAAGACTTCCTAAAACACCTCGCTGCGTCTGGAATTTTGACCTGTGGTAAGCTTATTGTAAAAAGAAAAACAAGGAGTTTCCTGCCCTTGAAAACACATCAGGTCTTTTCTCTCCCAACCAGCAGCAAGGCCTTTCTTGTTTCCAGCTCTGAGTCAGCCTTGCCAGGCAGCTGGCAGAACAAGGCTTAGTGGGAGGTTGACTTTGTCTGCCTCCATCCATCACTCCACAGGTGGAGACCACATCTCTCTTAGCAAGTCAGGCAAGAGTGTTGAGATAACCTCTGCCACTGGGGTTAGTGCAGCTGAATGCTGGTCCTCGCAGCTAGGCCTTGTAAAGTGACCCAAGAATTGACTTTGTTTTTCTGTCTCTCCAGGTCTCCTGTTCTGACGTGGCTTCCCGCTTCGCTGCTGTTTGTGGGTGTCATCTATGCTGGGTCCAGAGCCTTGTCCAGACTGGTGAGTGAACGGGCTGTGGGAGGGACGGCCCTTCAACTCTTGTTTCTTTTTGCCTTTATAAATGGCACCTTTTGGCTTTAATCCTGGTAAGGATTAAAGGACGAGTCCAGCGACACCACTCCCCCCAACTTTGGCTGAATTGAAGATGACTGCATAACAAGAAAGTCCAGCCGGAGTGCTGCTCAGGCTGCCCCCTCTGGGGACCAGCGCCTCACTAGCCTGAAATGCAGATGGTTGTGGGAGCAAGGGAGGAAAGCTCTGGAAACCATCTGGCCTCTGGGGAACTGCCACAGCCCTGCCCAGGGTGTCACAGCCTGATGGGTGCCAGGCTCAGCAGTGCACACCAATGTCAGCACACAATTTGCGCCCAGGACACAGTGGTCCCAAGAAGTCATCTGTTATGTCTTCCTCTTGTTCCCTCAGAGGCAAATTCCTCCAGTATCAGGACTGTGAAGAGCAAAGCTACCTTAAGAGACGTTATTTAGAATTCTCTAGGAGGTTATTTTGTCACCAAAATATAATCCATTAAAGATGCCATTAGCAGTAGGTGACTTACAAATCAGGAAGAACATGAATGTTTCCTTCTTGCTTGTACTCTGGCTTCTGTTTATTAGAAAGTGCAGTCTATAGTGAATTTGTAGAAAAATACAGAATTAGCCAAAGAATTTATTTTTTAAAAAAGAAAAGTCTGTTGGGCTGGTGCAGTGGCATAGCGGGCTAATCCTCTGCCTGTAGCACTGGCATCCCATATGGGTGATGGTTCAGATCTGGGCTGCTCCACTTCCCTTCCAGCTCTCTGCTTATGGCCCGGGAAAGCATAGAGGATGGCCTAAGTCCTTGGGTCCCTACACATATATAGGAGACCTGGAAGAAGCTCCTGATTCTGATCAGCTCAGCTCTGGTCGTTGAAGCTGTTTGGGGAGTGAACCAGCAGATGGAAGGATCTCTCTGGGTTTCTTTCTCAGTAACTCTTTCAAGTAAGAATAAATAAATCTAAAAGAGAACTCCACCAGGTTTGTTTTTATGTTGGTCCCTTAGATCTCACATGTGAAAACAGTAAAAACAAACAAAACCTGCCTAACCGGCTAGCAGGGTTGTTGTTAGATGAACGAATTGCAAAGTTGAGAAATAGCAGTTTAAAATGTGATTGTGAAATTAAATTGTTTTTCTTTCTTGATTCATAAGCTTGAGGAGATAGGTGATATGTACAAGGGGCTTTCAGGTAGTTCATGGAAAATGAAAATGAGAAACAAACTTATTTTGTTGCAGAAGTTTTTTGAGATTCATGCAAGTTTTTTTGGTAATAGGCATGTTTTCCATGAGCTTGTTGAAGATCTCCTTGTACAGAGGAGAGGCACCGCCTGTGTGGGCCTGCAAACTGGCTCCTAGTGCAAGTTGGTGCTGCTGCCTCATGCTCCATCAGGGCTGCTTGGACCATGCTGCCTCCCCTTGCACCCACAGTCTGGCACTGGTACTTCCTATACAGTGGCACAGAGCCAATCTGAAGCCAGGAGCCAGAAGCCTCCACATGGATGCATGGTCCCAAGGCTTTGGGCCATCCTCTACTGCTTTCCCAGGCCACAAGCAGGGAGCTGGATGGGAAGTGGGGCAGCCAGGACATGAATAAGCTCTCAAATGGGATTCCAGCACTGGCAGGTGGAGGATTAGCTAATGCAGCCGTTGTGTCAGCCCCTCCAAGATTTTTTTCAGAATTTTTTTTTAAATACAATTTTTGTCTTCCCAGCAGGAAACTTGTAATGTTGCTTAACTTCATCAGATGCAAACTGTGCTGTGATGGTGAAAAGTAAAAACTCAGTTAAAAAAATGAAACTTTTGTTTTATTATTTCAGTAGCAGAGAGTGAGAGAGATGCCATATTGTCCCTGTGTTGGTTCTCTGCCCAGGCTGAAGCTTGGGTCTAGCATCCAGACCAGCAGGAAACTGGAATCAGGTGCCAGGCTGGGCTTGAGAACGAGGCACTGTGCTGTGGGATGTGGGCATTGCAAATGTGAGTGACAGGCTTTCAGGTTTGAAGCAAGACACTGAATTGGTCGGTTGGGGCAAGAGGGTTTTTACTATAGACAGGACAGCGTGGTCAAGACATAAAGATAATGCTTGGGTGGTAAATAGCATTGTGAAGAGAGGTTCTTTTCTGCTCCTTTGCTGGGACAAGACTGTGTATTTGTGTAGAGACCCACAGCAACGTGTGCCTGGGAGAAAAAGGAAAAAACTCCCTTGGTAGTTGTGTATTGGTGTCACCAGTATGCATTATAAGGTTGTATCAGCATGATGTCCCTGGGAAAGTCATCGAGCCTGTGTCATCCTCCTGGTCATTTTGTTTGTATCCAGTTTTACCAAGTCTAGAGTTGCCAGTCTGTGACCCAGCACCCTGGCAAGTCCTCACGCCACGTGTGTCTCAGGATTTTGAGACTTGAATCAGTAGGGTGTTGTACTTGGAACAACAATAATACTTTTGTTTGTACAATGCTTTTTCATAGGTTTCCAGGGTGATTTCCTATTTGTCTTTTTGTGTGATTTTCACAGTCACTTGATAGGTTATCGGTGAGGCAGATGTTAATCACCTGCCCAACGAAGAGGCCTGGCACGATGTGTTCCTAGTCCCTGAGAGTGGCAGCTCTTCTCATTCCCTGCCTTGTGCCTCTTCGGAATTGCCTCTTTAGGACCACGGCATGCAGCTTACAGGGTGAGCACAGGATACAGTAACTGCAGCACTTCAGACTTTTGGTTGCAGGTAAGGAAGGTAAAGCTCATGAGCTGGTCTCAGCAAAAGGAAAATTGCTGGGTCATGTAATTAAAAATGTGTAGGGTAAAGCCTCATTCACACGTGGCTTAATCCAGAGTTCAGTGGCAAACTCAGAATCCAGCATCTCTTTGTCCTTTAGTTCTGCTCTCCGTCTTTGCTCCATCTCACAGCTGTGTCCTCCCTTCATGGCTGTGCTTATCCTGAAGGCCTGCTTGTCTGACAGGGGCTTGAGGAGCTGTTCTCCAGAGGAGTACATGGCTTCTGAGAGGCAGCCATGCAGCTCACTTTGCAAAGATGCTATGGGGAAGAGTTCTTGGTTGATTTTTCCACCGCAGACTCAGAGGGAAATATTCTTGTAGCTATCCCTTCTACAATTTTTATGTTTTCTTTCTTTCTTTCTTTCTTTCTTTCTTTCTTTCTTTCTTTCTTTCTCTCCTTCTTTCTTTCTTTCTTTCTTTCTTTCAGATTTATGTGTTTATTTGAAAGTCAGAGTTAAGGAGAGAGGAATGGACACACACACACACACACACACACACACACACACACACACACATCAATTTTCTATCTGCTGGTTCACCCCCCAGATGGCCACAACAGCCAGGGCTGTGTGAGGCTGAAGCCAGGAGCTTCTTCTGGGTCTCCTACATGGTTGCAGCGGCCCAAGCATCTGGGCCATCCTTTGCTGCTTTCTCAGGCCATTAGCAGGGATCTGCATCCAGAAGTTGAGTAACTGGGACACAAGCTGGTGCCTGTGTGGGATGCCAGCATCACAGGCAGCAGCTTTACTTACTATGTCACAGCATCAACACTGCAAATGTTTATTGAGGACCTTGTGTGTGCTAGTGGCTTACAGGATAAGAAGACCCAACTCCTGACCTTAGGGAACTCGGGGCGAAGGAACAGCTGAGCTAGTAGGACTATTCGGAGTCAAGTGTGAGCTGTGTGCTCTTTAGTGCTTGTCATGATGACTTGGGAGGTTGGACTTCCTGGTGCGTTCATGCTGGTTATTTATGCCTGCTTGCCCAGCTTTCTTGCACTGGATATAGTTACCCTGGGTGGCCCTGATGGCATTGGTGTTATCCTTGGAGAGACAGTACAATGTGGATGGGCCATTATTAGTCTTATTCCAATTTCCTGGTCTAAAGCCTCCAGAGCTGGTCAGGATGGCCTCAGAGTCCATGCTGGGAGGGTGTGGGGGCCAGATGCACACACTAAAGCCTTAGCGAGTGCACTGAGGAGTGTGCCCCAGTGCTGGTGGCTCGGCTCCTCCAGCCATGCTGTTCTCTTGTGGACAGAAGGCCAGCGTCCACAGCTGGAGGGACTTTGCTGAAGGAAGTTAAGGCAGGGCTGGAATTAGTTTCCATGGTGAGCTCTGTGATCGGGTTCCCTCCTGGCTGCTGCCGTGGTTTCTGTCCGTGATGAGCCCAGCATTCACTCAGCGTGTTGGCGATGGGGCGTTGGTGGAAAGTAAGACCCGTGTGGAGCGAGTTAACTTGGTAAGGAGAGCGGGCCACTCTGCCTTTGGCTCCAGTGTCAGATATGGGAACTTGGCTGCACAGGGAGACGGGTGTGAGTGTTGGTGCCGAGTGCAGAGTCTGGCGCTCGGGCCTTTACCCTTTCATGTTTTCTTATCCCAGCTGGTCTGAGTTGACTGTAAGGATTGCCTTTCACTCTGTGTGCCCGGTGGTAGTAAAATAAACCATACACGGGGCTTTCATTTTTGCTTCAGTTAAAACTATTGCCCTTCACTTTTACAAAATCATTTATTAAAATTGAAACCCTAGGGGGAAAGCTTCATGACATTGGATTTGGCAATGATTTCTTGGATACAAAACCAGAAGTAGAGACAACAAAATAAAACAGAGACTAATTGAGCTTCATCCAAATGAAAAAACCTTGGTGCATCAAAGTCATCATCATCCAAGTTGAACGGGAGCCTGGGATAGGCGTTCAACCTGACAACCTGCACCCCACATTTGAGTTGCTTGGGTTTGATCCCTAGCTCTGGCTTCTAACTCTAGCTTCTTCATAATTCAGACTCCAGAGGGTAGCAGTGATGGTTCACAGAGTTGGGTCCCTGTCACCTGCTGGGGAGACCTGGGTTCAATTCCCTGCTTCTAGTTTGGTTCCCCTTGGTTGTTTATGTGCATCTGGGAGAGGAAACCAGTGGATGGTAGCTCGCTCACACTCTCTTTGTACCTCTCAAATTTTCTTATAAATAGGTACCTTATAGAATG